AGCTGCTTTACACATAGTCCTAAAAAGGGTTGCCATATGTCCTCTTTTTCCAGGACACGCCCTCTTTTTCATGAGTAGAGTCGTCATAGCAATCCATAGTTAAAAGTAGAAGTCGGCAAATGTGTCTTCTTTTTCGCTCTTCAAAATATGACAACCCTACTAAGCCTCTTGATTTTAAGGTTCTTGTTGGTTATGCAGCCTTTGTGTCGTCTCCTCTTCGTGATACTTTTTAGTTCTCTTTGTCTTATTCCCATATTGCCTTCATGTTTCACAACTTGTAATCTTTACACTTCCATATTGTGTTTTTTGAATAACTTAAGCATAAAGGTAAGGACCTAGACTCAAGAATTCATGACGAAATGAGTTTAGGGAATAACAAGATATAAAATTGAGCCTCTACTCTGAGCTATGCCTGAATAATTGAAAGAACAAATAAGAGCCCAAAGGCAACTTTACTATTAATAAAACATTTCATTCCTTCATACATCCAAAACTTTCAGGCAAACTAGCTGAAGTTAATGAAATTATAAAGACAGAAAGCATGATTCAGCAATCTCCCTGCAGATGTTGGGGTCTGAATGCAAGACCATTGCTCCCCATTCATATCAGTGAAGGGAGCTCCTCCATGAAAACCATGGGATGTAGGCATAGCACAGGTCCTTCCAGAGATTTGAAAGACGAAAGCCATACATATGCAGGAGTTTCATTTCTGCACTGTCCATTAGAAGGGTTGTAATCATGCTGCTACTAGGATACAAGGTTTAAAGCTGAACTGCATACTTGCACAACATAAATCTGCTTATAGAATCATAGAATCATAGAATCATAGAGTTGGAAGAGACCACAAGGGCCATCGAGTCCAACCCCCTGCCAAGCAGGAAACACCATCAGAGCACTCCTGACATATGGTTGTCAAGCCTCTGCTTAAAGACCTCCAAAGGAGGAGACTCCACCACACTCCTTGGCAGCAAATTCCACTGTCGAACAGCTCTTACTGTCAGGAAGTTCTTCCTAATGTTTAGGTGGAATCTTCTTTCTTGTAGTTTGGCTCCATTGCTCCGTGTCCGCCTCTCTGGAGCAGCAGAAAACAACCTTTCTCCCTCCTCTATGTGACATCCTTTTATATATTTGAACATGGCTATCATATCACCCCTTAACCTCCTCTTCTCCAGGCTAAACATGCCCAGCTCCCTTAGCCGTTCCTCATAAGGCATCGTTTCCAGGCCTTTGATCATTTTGGTTGCCCTCCTCTGGACACGTTCCAGTTTGTCAGTGTCCTTCTTGAATTGTGGTGCCCAGAACTGGACACAGTACTCCAGGTGAGGTCTGACCAGAGCAGAATACAGTGGCACTATTACTTCCCTTGATCTAGATGCTATACTCCTATTGATGAGGCCCAGAATTGCATTGGCTTTTTTAGCTGCCGCATCACACTGTTGGCTCATGTCAAGTTTGTGGTCAACCAAGACTCTTAGATCCTTTTCACATGTACTGCTCTCAAGCCAGGTGTCACCCATCTTGTATTTGTGCCTCTCATTTTTTTTGCCCAAGTGCAATACTTTACATTTCTCCCTGTTAAAATTCATCTTGTTTGTTTTGGCCCAGTTTTCTAATCTGTCAAGGTCGTTTTGAAGTGTGATCCTGTCCTCTGGAGTGTTAGCCACCCCTCCCAGTTTGGTGTCATCTGCAAATTTGATCAGGATGCCCTTGAGTCCATCATCCAAGTCGTTGATAAAGATGTTGAATAAGACCGGGCCCAAGACAGAACCCTGTGGCACCCCACTAGTCACTCTTCTCCAGGATGAAGAGGAACCATGGATGAGCACCCTTTGGGTTATGAAACAAGAATTTGAGTTTCTTTTCTTCCTCCTCATGCCTCACCCCAAATCCGCTCCAGAGAATATCCTAACCTTCAGGAGTTGATTTGTGGGGCTGAGAGGAAAGAGAAGCCACACTGAGTGACCCAGATGCCCACTTGTGCATCTTACCTATAGTGCACAACTTCATGAACCATGTAGGCAATGACAAACTTCCTCTACCCACAAAGCTAGCAAGTCAGGGACAAAGCTGCTCTAGGCTGAGCTCCCTGATTTATTTTAATCTGTATAGTAGGCATAGGCAAACTCGGTCCTCCAGATGTTTTGGGACTACAACTCCCATCATCCCTAGCTAACAGGACAGTGGTCAGGGGTGATGGGAACTGTAGTCTCAAAATATCTGGAAGGCCGAGTTTGCCTATGCCTGCTGTGTAGGGTTGCTGGGGAACTTACGAACATGCTTGAATGTGTGACTAGCCCCTTAGAGTGCTACATACTGTAAATGAAGCATTAGCATCTACAGTCGCCACAATACCTCGGGTTAAATATGCTTCAGGTTGAGTGTTTTCAGGTTACGCTCCGTGGCGACCCGGAAGTAACGGAATGCGTTACTTCCGGGTTTCGCCGCATGCGCAGACGCTCAAAATGACGTCACGTGCATGCACAGAAGCGGCGAATCGAGGCCCGCAGACATGCAGACGTGGGTTGCGCTCGCTTCAGGATGCGAACAGGGCTCCGGAATGGATCCCATTCGCATCCAGAGGTACCACTGTATTCCATTTATTTGATGGGGCATTTTGAGGAAGGAAAGGAAATTGTAAGAGTCTGTCATTTCTAAAATATTCCCACTGCATGTATGTTTGGGGGGTACAACCTTCCAGCGTCCCTGCACACGTTCAAATAGCATAATTCATTCATTGCAAAACCACAACACTTTAATACAACAGGCCGCCCTCCTGCTTCTGACCTTACAAACTGTTCACTTCAGCAATGTCATTCTCAAAATGCCTGACTGCAATCCCAGAAATGCATTTTAAATGTGGATGCAAACATTTCTATTACTGATAAAACTAGCGCAGCAATTTTTTGCCTTGTGGGGGGACTGGAGCCTGGCTGGCTGAAGTTACAGGCCCAGAAGTGACACTTCAAGGCCATGTCCTTTGCGACATGTGAATCAACTGTTTTTATTTATTTATTTATTTCACAAAGCTTCTGCTGACAGCGTTAAAAAGAAAGATAATTCTTTTCATTTGGTAACATTTGTTGAAGTAAAGATAGAATGCCCACACTAGGCTGACCACAATCTTTCCGTGTTATAGACAAATGATAATTTGAACTCTGCATCAACAGAGCTGTTTAAAGGCAGAGTATACAAAACTTCCCTGAGGTCTTGTTTATTTCTTCCCAAGACCCCATTCCCACCCACAACCTCCGGATAAAGCTCAGCATATGCGAGACAAGAATATGTCAGCATGTTGGATTGCAACTTGCCGCTCACTCATAACATATTTTTTTAAAAAATGTTGTGTAGGAGCTTCCATAAAAGTATTTTGGCATGACATGGTTCACGTCGGAGCCATAAATTTTGTCAGATGCTTACCTTGTGGACTAACTGCCATGGATAATATTAAAAGTAGGTTTGGGAGCAATTTTGTGTGCTTAAATATGATTTGTCTTGAATTTAGTCAGGTGGTGACCTAAATGGCTTCTTATAATTGTCTAATCTTAAAAATCCTATATATTACAAATATCAATATAATTTCATACGAGTATACAGTAGGTCACATATTAGCATGCTGCCCTTCACACAAGGACTTTAACCAAATCACCTTACAGTCCACTTGCTAAAAATTGGCCAAAGATTCCCTATACCACTGGTTTTTCAAATGTTTTATCAGGGCATAGTTGCCTTTGACTGGACTTAACCATCCAGGGGTCCTTTACATTTTATCTTTATTCACTGGAACCACTGCCAAACATGTTCTAATTGTTTGCTTAAAACACATCCAGCACTTATCCCTTGATAATTCCTAAATTGACTCGCTTCAGCAGTGCAGGGGAATATCAGTAATGACCGCTCCCCACTTAAAACGGGGGGCGCCCTTTGCGCGGGCGCGTGCAGCCCCTAGATCTGGAGCGCCCCAACAGCATAGGCTTGGCTTTGCCTTCCCTCAGGTGGGATACCTGGAGGTCTCCGCCTACCTCAGTCAGTTGTCCAATCCCACCTGGGGGAAGCGTTGCCAAGGAGACCAGGCCAGGTAGGGGAGGGATTACCTGCCCACACAATAGAGGGAGGATCTTACCTAGGAATCCTCACTTGGCTCCAGAGCTTCTCCCACCCTACCCACCCTCAGTTAATGTCTTATTTTGCAGGTTAACTTTTCTTCACAGGTTTTGCAGGTTAACGTTTCTTCACAGGTATGCGGGCGCTGCTACGCTAAGGTCGCTGTTAAAGGGCCGGAAAGGAATTTCCCTGCATTGGCAGGTTTCGCCTTTCCCGTAGCAAAACGTCACAACTTTGGCGGTATCAGGCCTTGGGCGGAATCCTTTTGTCCATCTTCCTCTTGCGGCGGCGATACCAGGGTTCCCCGTTAAAGGGGTTTTCTGAAGGGAGGCTTTGGCCGTACACCGAAAGGTCGTCATTGCTCTCTCCTGCGGCGGCGGCGTTACGGGGGCGGCCATCTCTGCTTGAACATATGTTCTCCAGAGCCGGCCCATCCCCCACACACACACTGGATAACCCTGATGCTCCCTAGGTCCCCGGCTGGGGACCAGGGAGGGAGAACGCCCAATGCCTGAGCCAAGGTCTACCCACATTTGAAATTTAATAAAGTTGTGGCCAATTTAATCCCATAGCACGTTGTCTTGAGTCGTTATTCCACATGACAGGGGGGCCGTGCAGGATCTGGGGACTCCGCCTGTCCGCGCAATGGTGGGCAAACTTGTATATGTAGCCCAAGGCTCCACAGAACCCAGCTTGAAAATGGCTGAAGCTTTCTATCTGATGCCATTTGGCAAACATGGCCACAACTTCAAATACTGATTGTACACCACCCAGTTTCTAAACCAGTCAAAATGTGTGTATTTTGGACCAGAGTTCGTTGTTTATATACATACTATGATTGTAAACCTTTCCTATTAAATGTTTGTAACCTATAGAATTTCACGTTTTCTTTCTTGTAGATCATTGGAACAATCCCACTGTTGCCTAATCCAGTCTCATCTAACCAGTCAGCCGGAGGAGCTCAGGGTCTTCAAGTGCAGCCAATCACGCCACAATTACTGACCAATGCCCAGGGGCAAATCATTGCCACAGTCATTGGGAACCAGATCTTGCCAGTGATCAACACCCAGGGAATCACACTTTCGCCACTCAAACCAGGCCAACAGGTAAGTTATGAATGTAGCATTTAAATTAACCGAGAAATAGTTAAAATATATTGATTTGCATTTTCCTCCCCACTGTCACTCTTTGGGTAGGGGTGTTAGGCAAGGAGGAGGGGCAAATAAAGGCAGCCTTTAGTTTCAGCCCAAAATGGTGTCCAAGCCCTCTGTTAACTCCACAACTGCCAGTTTGTTGTCTTACGCAACGGACTTTATATTCCATATATAATCAGATGCACTTTTGGAATGTTCAGGCAGTTGTTATGGTATATTCTCTATCTTAAGAAAGAGGTTCAGGGCTGCAGAGATCAAGCCTTCAGCCACTCAACCAGCAAGGAAACTCTAAGGAGGAATATGCATTCCCTCTTTTTCCTTATTGTTTCAGGTATCTCTGGCCCTGATTAGCTGTATCCCATCCAATCTGTTTGGGTGAATAGGCACACTCTAAAGCAGAGCTTTCCAAACTTTCCATGCTGGTGACACACTTCTTGGACATGCACCATTTCACAACAAAGTAATTCAGTTTTACTAGCAAACCGGAGGTTAAACTAACCCCTTTCCAGCTTTTGCATGACACACCTACACACTGCAGCTGACACACTAATGTGTGGCGACGCACAGTTTGGAAAGCTCTGCTCTAAAGCATAAGCTTTTGCTGGATTGGGCAAAGTTCCACCCAGTCCAGCATCCCAATTCTCTGTTGTTTGTGACCAGCACTTGGGTATTCAGGTGCAAAACAGCTTGAAAATCTTCATGGTTCAGATTATACACTCATTTGGGTAGTGCCAGCCCAGAGGTGCCATCCCTGATGCCTACCTTGGGCCCTCCTTTCCTACCTGGTGTGTGCCATTAGGCATCATACAAGATTACTTTATCATCCACCTACTCTCAGCTAACAGAACCACATCCCACATGTTTGTTTTTATTTATTTTGAAGTTTTCCTGCTCTTCTCCCATTCCTTCCTAACCTGAAATCAACATGATATTGGGGAAACGGCAGTGTAGTCAAATGGTTCCTCATTCCTGAAAGGCTATTTCTCCACCTCTGAGGATGCTGATTCACCGTGGAACGTGATAATGAAGCAGCTACCTTGATCTGAGTTGTGAAGGGTTTCAATAGAGTTTGGAAAACACAGCCAGAGCTACAAATTCTCTTCACATAAGCACACTCACCCACTCAAACTGACACACGACAGCATCTCCGTTTCACTAGTTAACACAGTTCTGTGTCTGAAGCATACAGAGCAAATGAAATATCCATAAACATAACCATTTTTTAGAGGACACTCAGTTACATGAATCTTGAAATGCTAAAATGATTTTGCTTTTTGACCCACAAAGACATCATCATAGTAAAAAGCTTGCAGCGTAATTTACACAGCCAAATTACATTTATTATTTAAAAACACCCACCAAGTAATCTGATTTGCCGTGCTTGAATGGATGTGTATCTGAATAGTTCAAAAATACATTTTCAAGTTGTTATTTTTTCAACAGCAACCAGTTAGCCACTTTGGGTTATATTAAATTAATAAAACACATATTAGATTGTCTGTGCATTTTATGTTCTATCTCATGTTATAATCCATCATCCTTTATTTGTAATACAGTCATATTTCCGGGAGAGGAGGGAATGCAAGAAGGAAGTTTGTGTCTGAATTCATTTATTGTTCCATTGATATTAGAAAGGCTAACAGTTTGCACAAATTTCTTCTTCGGCGTATATGTACTATTTAGGACACAATTCATTTGTAGTTATCCACTTTTAAGTAGCTCTTTTGATGCAGTAGGAGATATTTAAGTACAATGTTTATCTCTCCCATTCAGATCAACAGAGCTCACCTAGAAGGATTTGACTTTGGCTGATCATGCCCTTACTTTCTAGGAGAGGTCAAGACTGTACAGTCACATATACATCAAGAAGACTATTCTGAGATAATAAACAAAATAAATAAATAAATATTGCATTACAGTTTATGTAGATTTCAAAGTTAATTTTAAAATGTTGTATTCAAAGTTAAGAATCTTAACTTGGTGGAAAATTAATAAAAATTTTATATATATATATATATATATATATATATATATATATATATGAATCTTAACTTGGGATATAGTTCTTAAAATTCAGACCCCAGTGTTTCTGCTACAAACAGGTTCACTTCCAGCAGTGACTACACTAGGACAGATAGGGAGTTTGGTTGCAGATTGGATATATGACACGGCCTGTTTCTTATTAGTCCTCATCTAGCCCACCACAATACCCAACTACTGGCACAAGAGTCGAAGGGGTGGGATATAAATGAATAAAGAATCTTTAATATTAAGAGCATTGTGCCAGGCAGAGAACGTAGTACAGTGACAGCACCTTATCAATTCTTGTCTCTCTGCTGAAGGTTTGTTTCTTTAATTTTGCATTTAGCTCCACCAGCCACCCCAGACGCAGGTGGGGCAAGCAGCATCCCAGTCCAATCTGCTACATTTAGCTCACAGTCAAGCATCTATGTCTCAGAGCCCCGTGCGGCAGGCTTCCTCTTCCTCTTCTTCCTCCTCCTCATCTTCAGCTTTGAGTGTTGGCCAGTTAGTCAGCAGTAAGTATAGCCTTCTTGGTATCCTTATTTCACTTTCTCCATCCCAACTTTTCTTCCTTGCTTTTGTGAAGTACCTGTAAGTATGGCCAACTGGAAAAATAAGCAAGTCATTGACTGCTGAATGGTGCAAATGCAAGAGGCTGCAAACTGCCGGTAATAAGAGTTTTAAGTTAGAATTTTTTTATGCAATGTGCATTACTTCTGAATGTGGCCCCACAGACTGACTCCGATGCCCAGTCCCCCTGAGTCAGTTCAGGAGGATACCATGATCAATGATATCAAAAGCTGCTGAGAGACTGAGCAGAAGTAACAGGATGGTACTCCTATTTCTCCCTGATGATAATCTTTCAGGGTGACTAAGACCGATTCAGTTCTGAAAACAGGTCTGAATTCAGATTAAAGTAGATCTAGATAATCCAGGGGTACCTGCAGGAATAGTCAAAACAAACCGTGATACCTGGCTGGTGTGCGCCATTTGGCACAGTAGCTAAGAATTTGTCCATATGTGAACTAGACAGTTAAAAAGTTTGTGGCACAGTAAACAGCGCAGCAGAAAACCATGCAGAGAAAGGAGACCAAGGCAGATGTATGGGGAAAGAGAGCTCGTGTTGTAATTGCGAGGAAATAAGGAAAAATGGTCTCCCTGTAGAAACTCATCCCTGCCTGTAACAGTTAGAAACAGTTATCATGTGACACTTGTGAGTCTTTGTGCTTTTACCCATATTTCTGCTAGCAGATGGAGAGGGAAGAAAACCTCACAACATGGTGGCCAGGGTAGGACTCAGCTGCACAGGGAGGCCATTCTCTGTGGCAGGCTTACCATAACACGTCCTGTACCCCACTTCTGAGTTTTAATTAGTTGCTCTGCACACAATTGAGAAGCAGATGCAGTTCTGCTGCTGTAGCTAAATCAGAAATGGGAGATCTCTAGGGAAAGCACAAAAACCCCAGGGTCACCATGAAAAAAGCCCCCATCTATGTTCTGTAGAGTTTATTATACATGCCACCCCAATCTGCAAGATTTCAGGGGTTCCAGGTGCCTACCCAGGGCCTGTGTTTCGTTTTGGAAATAAGGCACAATGAAAGCTATGATGTCTTTATGATATATGGTTTTATTTGCATATATATACACTTGAACCTAGATGGAGAGAGTTTAGAGCATCCATAGCCCAAGAGGCTCTGGTCTCCTCCATAAGCACAGCACAGCATTCACAGCTTGCCCTAGCCAGCCCACACGGTGCTCTGTCCCTTCTTCTGCTTCCCAAATCACTTGCAAAACTGGCCACTTTTTTCCCCTGTTGACCCTTCCTGAACTCCTAAACCCCTTTGGTCTCTGCCCACCAACACACAGCTGGAGGAGGGTCCCCTGTCTTCCTTGCTGGCAGTCCTCGCTTTCTCTTGGTGGTTTCCATAATGAGCCTTCACGGGTCTCTGTTTCTTAATGGCTTACACTCAGCTAGCCCTGACAGGCTGGTCTGGCTCGTTAGCATAAGCCGCATCCAACAGCATTTGGCACAGTTTAATCAAACCTTGATTAATTCCAACTTTTGCTAAACCCAGGAATCATGGGTGGGTGCCTTGCACCCACAAAACTCTGGCACCTCATCACATAACAATTAGCAATACAAATAGATGATACTTGAAATACAATTTAACCAGATGCCCTTAAAAGCCGGGCGGCGTCATATGGAAAAAGGAGTTCCCTCTCTGCCTATTTTCAGAATGTTCACTCCATCCTAGTCAAACTAGACTAAGAATTTGATGCAAAAACTCTATGATGGGCTTGGAGAATTTGTAAGGCATTCTAGTCAGTAGAATTTTGAACATCAGCCTGATAAATAGCAATTTTCCTGCAGCAGTTCTGCAATAAGACTGAGAATAGTTGTGAGCACAAGACGTTGGTCTGCACACTGAATTGTAGCCAAGTCTGGACCACTGATGACTTGCATTTAGAGAAATGAATTGATTCTTGTGGCAAAAATATTTCACATTGGAACATCTCAGGAATGAGGTGATAAATGATAGAGACATTGTGCCAAGGGAATGGCTTCACTATACGCAGGAGTGAACAACGCTTTGAAATATTCCACTATCCCAGTCCCATGCTGTCTCCACCGGCTTCGGGAATGCTTTCATTTAGCAAGGGATCAGTTGCTGAGGAGGGGGGATTGGGGGGGTACCACCTCCAACTGTTGTGTCATTTCCCTTGATAAGTCCTAAATTGACCGCATTTCCAGCACCAAAGGAGCCTTCCTCTGCTAGATAGCTTTTATTATGTGCCCTTTCAGGGACAAAAGCTGTGTCAGTACATTGCGACAGAGGCAGAAGACCAATTTATTCTCGCAGCATTATGAGCATTATCTTCTGAGGGTCCAATGAAAAAATAAAGCAGGTGTCAGTGTTACTATTTTAAGGTTGTGCTTGCATCACCCTAACGGGCCACTGTTTGGGGTGATGCGGAACAAAATTTTTGCAAAGGTTCCAGTGTGCCAGCACTGTCTAGTTAAATGACCCAAACACCTTGAAGATATTTTTTGTGATGCAGTTTTTTTTAGACAAAATATGCCATTGCCTTTTTTACTAAGTTAACACATTTCCCAAAATCGGTTCTCTCTTTAGTTATTCCCCAAACCTACTAGGAACTAGTTTTACTGGATGAACTCTTTGAGAATGATTCAACGGCTGATTGGGCAAGGCCCCCCACTGTCTCCCATACAAGCACTACGAAATATCTGGTCAGCAGGCATTGTGTTTAATGCTTTCCACCACAACTCCTTTCACCCTAAGTTGGCAACAGGGAGGCATCCAGTGCCTTTGCTCTATCTTTTTGTTTCCTTCCCAAAGCCATGCCAATAACGGAGGTTACGCTAATTCCATTTTATATGCAATGAAGAATTCAAATCCTTTTCTTGTATTTCGACAGATCCCCAGACAGCCTCCAGCGAGGTGGACGGGGTGAACCTTGAGGAAATCCGAGAATTTGCCAAAGCTTTTAAAATCCGACGCCTGTCACTTGGTCTCACCCAGACGCAAGTTGGTCAAGCTCTAAGTGCCACAGAAGGTCCAGCCTACAGCCAGTCTGCCATCTGCAGGTAACAAGACACACAGCAAATGCTCATTTCTCCAGGCCCCTCTCTCACGGCTTATTGTTGCTTCTTCGGCCGCCTTTATTGCTTTAATCACATGTCCATGGAAAAGAGCTCCTTTGTACGGAAGAGGTAGAGAGAGGAGTGGATGCTCTTGTGATGGAGTAGATATATTTCAGCACACGTCCTTAAAATAACTTTCATCTCCTTCCCCCCACCCTTTACTTTTGTAACAAGTAGGAAACAATAAATATGTTCCTGGCCTTGAGACATAATTCAGTAGTGGAACGGGAGACCCTGCTGCTGCGGCATAAGCAGCAGCTGACCCTCTTCACACTGTGCCATTTTCTACAGATGGGGAGCAAATATTTCATGGATGCTTCCCTGCCAGGTTTAAGCCTGTACTACCAGAGCTCGCACTTCACATCTAAGATGTTAATGATGATTTTCCCGAATGATACAGAGGAGAGTGCAGGGAATCTATATAAAGCCATAATGGCTTTTTTCAGACTTTCTGGGATTAATCATATATCACTCTCCAGTGTTTCAAAAAAGGATGGATTCAAGTCGGGGAAAGAATAATGCCCGGAGAGTGACAAAATAATGAAACCAAAAGCAGCCTTGACAGAGTTAAAGGTCTTCAGAGCAAAGTCCCTATGTCTTCATGTGTGTGTGTTACACTAATCCCATGTTTATGCATGAGGTAACAAACACACTTAGGTAACAGCTTTTTTCTCTTGGGCAATGCCTCGTAGTCCTCCTCCATCAGTGAAAGCCAAGAAACCAACTCTAAGCTCATTTAAGTGGATTTTGTTCTTGGTGATCCATGAAATGCTCTGTCTTTTTATCTGCTCTTTATACTTTTAATGTATTCCCCATAGAACGGAAATGTACTTTTCCTGCAGTTTAAGACTAAGGTTATAAATAACATCAGTATGGGGTAGTGAGCTTGCAGCTCACATTTTGCTCAATGATTTTCCATAAAACCCATTGATTGTTGTTAAATACAAAAAGCTCCATAGGATCCTCTCACTTCTATGGTGTCCCCTACTGTTTTTTCTTATAAGATACCTCCCTGTAGAAAATAACCTTTATTCAGTCTATACAAGGATACCACTGCTGGGAAATTTGTTTCAAGACTTGTATATCGTTATTCCAAACATCACATACTGAAGCACCAACACGAACAAGGCACACAATTGTTATGAAAATGGTTCTTCCTCCCCACTCCCTGTTATTTAACTTTAATTTTATTTCATCTCAGTGGTCAATTGGTAGAAGAAACCTAAACAAAAAGAGGGTTGTTGTTGCTTTTAAGGCAACTGCTATTTTATATTTTTGCATTGCACTGTGACATGGTAGTATAAATCCACCCAGATGGATTTGCATGTGCTGGTTTAATCATCCCAGTTTTTTGTTTCGTCTAATGCACAGCTGCTAACTACATGGGATGCTTCGCATATCCCTTTGAAGTCCATGGCAAATCCCTTGGAAGATTTCAGTGATGCTGGATTTCAACACAGATCTGATGCTTGGAATTATAATATATGAAATTCCTTGAACAAAAAATATGACTGGATTTAATTCCATGTTTAAGAGACCTGCAGTCACATATTGTTGCAGATATGTAGAGGAAATGACCAAAATGTTTTTTTTTTAACCTACAGATAGCTTACATGGCTAAATAAAACATTGCAGTGCTTTACCATGCCACAAAATTGGCAAAAGCTTAGTAACATGGTAGCTACTGCCTGATAAATTTTGTACTATACATGCAAAAAAAAGTAAATGGACAAAATTATGCCAGGATTGATCCCATAATTAAGCAATCACCAACAGCTGTCTAGGCCAGCCCTTCAAGGGGCCAGCAATTTTTCAGCAGGAACAGATAGAGAATTTTTCTTCCCACTGCCACCTACAGTACACGAGATACTGCCACTTAGGCAACAGGAAGAAAGATGACAAACTTGATGGAAAATGGGTCAAGCAAAGGACAGCATTATGATGGGTTGTGCAAAGAGTCCAGTAGGCTTCAGGTCAGGGGTTAGGCACAGATAGATATTATGAGCATGGGAGCATGGCAGAGAGCAATTGTTTGACAATCTTGGTGAACATGGAGGTAGAAGATCATCAATTCATGGCCTATGTAGGAGGGATGATGATGGAATTCTCAGTCTCGTGAGCATCATAATCTGACTGGGAAATGGGAACGATATTCCAATAATTTGTCCAGGTAGTTGAAATATTTAAGGCCACTGGTGGCTTTGGCACTGCGATTCAGTTTAACTGATATATATTATATATTCCACTCCTTTTGTACCGAACACAACATTATCCACAAACTTTTTCCCATCAACAATGGCTGATGAATTTGTCCAAGTTCAAATTTGCTATGTATACAGGGGGACAATGCGAATCACTAGAGTTTTCTATTAAATGCTAATGTAACAGTGCTAAATAGCTGAATAGGCAGGACAATTCTCAGACCTAGCTCAAGAAAACGGGAGAGAAATCTGTAGACATAGGTTTCTCGAACAAACCCAGAGTTCCTTGGGTCTTGAGCTGTGATTCACAATTTACTTACCCCACAGTTGCTCCCAGGACCTCAGGGGTGTATACATAGAGCCATCTCATTTTGTTTTAGCAACAGCCTTGTAAGTTTGGTTTAGGAGGTGGTGGCTCGCCCAATGCTAGCCTGCTGACTGCAGGAATTTCAATCCAGTCAAACCCAACATGTTAGCCAATCTAGGAACCACTTCCTTTAGTATTTTTTTTAAAAAAAATGTGTTAAGATCCTTTTGACTGCAGTGGGATTTCAAAGGGCTTGATCATCCAGCTCTTGTAATTAACATTTAAGAGAAATGGTTTCCATGTACTGTTCAACATGAACATGTATATGCCCATCGCAAGCATGTACATCAGGGATGGGGAACCTGTGTCTCCTCCAGAGCTGTAGCTAGGTTATCTTGCACCCCTGGCAGAACCCTCCAGATTGCGCCCCCTAGCCATGACAAATTAGCTCTTCCTTCCACCTCTCCTCCAACCCCCACCCCTCCACCCATTCACTTCGCCCTCTATTTAAAACCATTTCTTATGAGGCAATAATCAATATTTATATTTATGGACATATTTATAGCCGATTTTGCGCCCTCTAATCATCTGCGCCCCTGGCAGGGGCCCACCTCACCACCCCCTAGCTACGGCCTTGGTCTCCTCCAGATGTTAAAGGGTTCCAACTCCCATCAGCCCCAGCCAGAATGGCCAACAGTCAGGGGTGATGGGATGTGTAGTCCAGCAGTATTTGGAGGGCCAGAAGTCAACCACACCGAGTCCATTGTAAATGGAACACATTCTTTCAAGGGCAATGGCACTTCTGCAAAAGTATTACATTCTGAGACCTATATTGGGAATATTAATTGGACACTGCAAAATGAATGAATGTAATTTATAAAACTACAAAAAGAGTCATTTGTTAAGTCAACAGGTGATGCAGCACTTGAACTGGACATGCTTTACAAAGACTAAAGTCCTCAGTATAGTTTTCTTTTTCCTGATGGCGTGGAAGATTTGTAAAATCTGGTCTAGCAAAGGACTTTTGATGGCAAAATGATACATAGAGGACCTCATTTACAGGAAATGATATCATTCGGCACAGTGTGCAGACATCCCACAATAAACCCAGCTTGATACCACAGTATATTAGTCCACTATTATGCTGGGTTTCATCTGGAAGGCATGAGTTTCTTTTAGTGCAACTACTTGTGGAGGTATTGAAGGTAATTACAATGTGTCCAGCTGTTTGAACTGAAGACAGCAACAGCTTTGGGGATTCTTTTCCTACCCAGAGAAGGGACACGGTGTTAACTTGCATACAGTGAAAATTGCTTACAAATGAAAAGGAAAAGGAAACCTGAAATTCAGAGGCTAACAGGCACTTTGTGAAATTAAAACAGCAGCATTTGAGCGCTATGGAAGGGAACAAGATCCCAGTAGAAGTAAAAATGAAACAAAATGCCACTGATGTCATTTCCTGTTTTTAGCTTTTGTGTTAAGCTTGAATCTTGTATATAGGATTTTGAAGGGGGGGAGCAAGCTTTGAAATCTGAAATATGTGCCTTCGACAGTAGTAACAGAAGTGAGAACTCAGAGCATGCATGCACAGAGTTCTATCCACTTAAATGAAGAAACTCAATCTGCATGCACCTTCTTTAATCATTAAGGCATGTGATGAGTATCTTCCAATGTGTACCAAAGATCCACGTGAGCCACTGAATGTACATGGATCTCTGGAACACAGCAACTGGGTATATGAAGTAGCATTCTGACAGCCGTTTGTCACTGTGATTGTTTTTGTTTGTTTAAATAGATATCTATATATTTGTAGAACTGATGGTTTTCATAATCCATTGTAAATATCCTCTGCCAGTCGATTAGGCAGGTAGGCAGGAAGTCCCAGCTGGCAGAGCCTCAGTGTAAGACTCTTCTTTCTCAATTTTCCCCTCAGACACACCATCCTGAGAAGCCACTTTTTTCTACCACAGGAAGCCCAAGAGAACACTATAGCTAGCAGTCTGACAGCCAAACTGAACCCTGGCCTTTTGTATCCTGCCAGGTTTGAAAAGCTGGACATCACCCCTAAAAGTGCCCAGAAGATAAAGCCGGTGCTTGAACGATGGATGGCTGAGGCTGAGGCCCGCCATCGGGCAGGTATGCAGAATCTTACTGAATTTATTGGAAGTGAACCATCCAAAAAGCGCAAGAGGCGGACCTCATTCACGCCGCAGGCTCTTGAGATCTTGAATGCCCATTTTGAGAAGAACACGCATCCCTCTGGGCAGGAAATGACGGAAATTGCAGAGAAACTGAACTATGACCGGGAAGTAGTTAGAGTCTGGTTCTGCAACAAGAGGCAAGCACTGAAGAACACAATTAAACGCCTAAAACAGCACGAGCCTGCGACGGCAGCCCCAATGGAGCCCTTAACAGACTCTCTGGAAGAAAACTCTTAAATTGATAGATTTAAAGGAAGAACACACACGAACAAATAAAACTTTAAACATTTGAACTCTGTAAAGATGCTCTTTCACCATCCTTGTAAGTAAAAGACTCAGAAAACTACAAGATGGACAGAACAATTTATAAATGTCTGTGGGTTTTCCTAGATAAAAACAAACAGAAAAAAATACAAAAAAAATTACACAGCACTTAGTGTGTGTGTGTATGTGGTAGAACTAGTTCCAAAATAAGCCAGTGTTTTTTTTTAAATGGACTTTAAAGTAAACCAAATAACTGCTTACTTTTTCCTGTATATTATGAAAATGTGAACATGTTTTATGGAAAAAGAACCCAACTACAACAGCAAACCTTTAACTGTTTTTAAAGGAGAGAGAGTACAAGCCTGCCACCTGGAGGAGTGATTGTAGCCTTTCAGGTATCAAGTGCTTCTTCACTATGAAAACTATTAACCAAAGTCAGAAACATGGCATTGAAAACTAGATTGTTAGTCTACTCTTTTATGAGCGCTACATTGTGTTATGAATTTTTACATTTGTACTTTGCAAAAAGAGGAAAATAATAATAATACAGGACTCTCTTTTCCCCCTGCATCCTCTCTCACATGTTCAGCACATGAGTATGCTACACTTGGTTTGAGCTACAATTCTCAACCCTCTTGTTTGGCATACACAGTTTTGTGATCTCCAAATGTTTGTGTGCCAAAATGACTGTTTCTCTAAACGGTGAGGTTTGCTTACTTTATTTTTTTAACCGAAGATCTTATTTATTTGCAGTTTTGATTCAAATTTGGTTGACACTTTGTTTTGGCTGCCTTCTCCATCCCAACACCATTTAAATTTCTTGTGTGAAGACGTGGACTTTTTAAATTATGCAGTGTAATGATGACATTATAAGGACATATTGAGCAACTTGAACTTTCGCTTACAGTATACAACTTGCCACTTACGCTGTCCTTTGGCCACGAACTAGGAGAGGTTACCAAAGCTACTTTTGTAATATAAATATAAAATGCACACGTGGTCCAATATACTGCATCATTGTTTATGGTCCTATCTATATGAAGCAATTTCTCTCCAAAGTCTGATAGCCAAAGAACTTTCTTGGGATTCTATTGAAAAGCAAGCTGATGGCAAATGTAAGAACAGAACGAGGATTTCCCCCCTCAAACTGCTGCATCTCTAACTTTCGTTTTACTGTTTCCACTTTCACTGTTTGTTTGTTTGTTTGTTTGTTTGTTTGTTTATTCCTGCATTGCAGGGGATTCGACTAGATGACCCTCAAAGTCTCTTCCAACTCTACAATTCTATTATTCTGTTATTCTGTTCTTCCCCCCTCTGGCAAGTGCTACTTTCAGAACTGTGCACAGACACAGAAGGGATTATGTGAATGCCAGATTTGACTGAATTACTTAATATGACTTGTTACCTAATTTTTGAACTGGGACCCGGAAGCAGAAATCACTGGCACGTATCTTGGCTGTCATCCAAAACTTCATGGCCATTCAGTCAAAAGGGTACATAAAGCCAGAGCAACAAAGTTCATATCCCAACATCCCCATAATATTTGGATTCAGGGTCCTTGACAGAAATCTGTGTTACATCCTGCTCCAGGCTTCTCAAAATGCATTAGAATCTGTCATTTCATTGTACAATACTTCTCCACCTCTCCATGGTGTAAATCTGAACTTACTCATCTTTTTTGACACAACTCATCATGTGCGACTGAGAGTCAAATCATCCACAGAATCTGTAGCCTTAAAGGTCCCACCTCCCTTACAGGTTCTTCCCTCTCGCACTGGAAAGTAAGAGGAGATGGTTAAATGGCTGGTCTAAAGCAGGCGGGATGCAACATAGGCAGCTTCACCTGTTTCAACGGGCTTTGGATCCAGTTCTCAGTTTTCAGATTGTCACCAGGGGCATAATCCATGCTCCATTTCAATTGAGCTTGCACAGCAGAATTATCTGTTGGTTTGTGTTTCCAAGCACTGCATGCCAGGAAAATGGTCAGTGGCCAAGCAAATGCTGACTGCATTCATAAGAAGGCCGCTATGAGCACGTCACAAAATATTTCCTTGCCTTGGAAAAAGTGATCATATGATCTGAATGAACATTTGCCCTCCAAATTAGAAATAGTTGGCTAAAGCCCTTATGAAAACTATGTAAGCATACTCTTCATACAGAAGAAATTAACAGTGTGCAGACAGAAAAAAATAATGTATACTGAGGTTAGATGTAATTAATAAAGCAAAGAGGACTCTAATTCCAAGCTCTGAACAAGTCAGAGGCAAGAAATGGTGATTCAGGATGGGCATGTACAAAATATTCACAAAGCCTGTGTGTTTTAGGTTTTTATTTTGTTTGTTTGTTTTTGGCAGAGAGTAGATTTCTGCTCATGTTAGCAATGTGATCATAGGACTGACTATTTCTCCTGCCTATGTACACCTATAGTTCAACTGCGAGCCTTATAGGCTGAGGTCTGAACTTGCTCTACAGCAAAGGGTGTGCCTCTTCGTAATCGAAATCATGAATTTAAATCCTACTGCAGTAGGTAAGAATGATTAAATTTCTGGATTGGCCATGGGTTGGAAAAAGTCCCATGTCAAGTCTGGATTTTAGTACAGGTGTTCACATCCATCATCTGGCCCTGATAATCAATAACTGCCAAAATTCAGTTTTAACAACAGCAGCTTAATTTAAAACAACAACAACAAAGCTTGCCATCTGCACCCTAGTTATGATGAACGTGAAATTAAAACTGTCAGGAGTATCAGGAGACCAGCCACAAATTATCTAGAAAACCGTCAAGAGCTTGTAGAACTTTGAAAGCCCATCTCCTAGTGCTCTGCCCGTCTCCCCCAGTCATTCCTTTTTCCATTCTCAAATATCAGCAAAACCAGAGCCTTGCTCCTGGAAGCAAAAATATACTAGCCATTTGCTGCTTAAAAAATTAGATGTCAGATTCTCCATGGAACAGTTAAAAAGTCTGCAATGGAACGGGGGGGGGGGGGATGAAATTTCCAGGAAGCAACATTAACCAAAGACTGTATAAAACACTTAAAACCATCACAGCAACAGTTAGACAGAAACTATTTCCTTTCTAAACTTCACACTGAAATTGTGTAAGTTAGGACAGTGATAATATAAAATGAAATAAATTGCCATCATGAAACAAGTTTTTTTGATTTTCATCTTTGTACTCGTGGAACCATTAACATGTCATAATGTTCTCTTTTTAATAGTTTTTTCTGGTTGTTATCACTTATTTTTACAAGGGAAAGTGTTAGGTTCGTTTTTAACAATCAGTTTTTTCGCTCGGAGGCATAACGGAGTGCCTGAACAAATTCTTATATGTATATGTAATTCATAAAGGCTGCAGGTATCGGGAGATTTTTTTTTCCTCTCCCCAAACAATAGTTATTATTTCTATTTGTAAATCTGTTCTGGGCTCCAAAGAGCCCTGTACACACACCTAGAACATTCCCATACGCGTACCAGGGTTCTGTCAACTTCCCTTTTAACCACAGCCCCTTATGCTGCTTTGGAAACATCCCCCAAACCCTCAAGAGTGGTTTCCAGGGCGCTTGAGGAGCTGCAGGAAGAAAGCTTTTCCATGAGCAGCTCATGGGATCCTGCTCAAATTATATACACAGCAATTATATACGAAGCCACCTTTGGGCAGTGACGAAAATATAGCACACTAGCAAATAGTGGAGGAAAAAACAAGCCCATTTCTTACTGGAGATAACGGCTTCATTAAGATGTAATGCTAAACCATGGTTTTCTATTACAGTAATGATTCTAATCTCTCTCAAAGCTGGCAAACCACTCTCTCTCTCTCTCTCTCTCTCTCTCTCTCTTTCACACACACATACACACTCTTCCTCAAGTGTGTCCGGGAGGAGACAGGAAGCTTCCACTTTTGTTTTGGAATTACTGCAGTCTAGTTTGTCATCCAAATCCTAAACTGTGGTTCTTCTGAACTGTGCTAAGTGAAAACAAGCCAAATTCATAAATTGTGGTTTGAAGCAGGCTTGTTTCCATTCGGATTAACTGCAGCATGTCTGGGATCAAATGGCAAGGCAATCTGCAATCCATCGACAATGAAAACGGAAGCTGCCAGCTCCTGCTCACGACTGCTGGGCTGCTTCTCGTAATGCGATGTATTAGTAGTAGTGCGTCCAAGCCAGGCCAGAGGCATGTCAGGTTTACCTTCCCTGAGGAGAGAAGTAAGTTTTGCGTAGGGAATTAGCAGGAGTTACTGAGCTGATTTTTGTTCTTTATTTCTGGATCCATCTTTTCCCACTAAAGCCTAAGGTTTGCTGCCCTAAAAAAAATTTTTTTTTTTTGCTGGGACACAGTCACTCGCTGGAACAGCTCCTTGCTACAAACCACTACATTATCTCAGAGTCACAAAGGCGTTAATTTGGTGTGTGAAACAGATCTGATGCCGGAAATGTTGAGGCTTGGAGTGTACAGATCAGAAAAAGAGACCAAGTCCATTCCGAAGTTTTCAGTTTATGTTCTAATCACGCAAACGATGAAGTAAACAGACCAAGAAAGCAAAAAGGAGCTAAGAAGGAACAAGTAGAGGCGTGTCAAAGTACTCAAGCTATAACCAAAAAGAAATATGTATAATGCCTTTGCTCGTCTTCTCAATGCTGGACCAAAGCTCAATGTTTGTAGGTATATGCACATTGTATAGATATGGCTAAATGTTGCTGACAATCTTGCAATACTAAACTGTTACTATTTTAAGAAAAGAAAAGAAAAAGAATACAGAAAGAAACTGTTCATCAGTGTTTTACCTCAGCACTCTACTTGTACCCAGCTCATGAGCAACACTGAATTAAGGAATTAAAAAATATAAAAAAAGGAAATTAATTTCCATGTAAATGTTTGACTGTAAAAAAAAAAAATTGTTTCAGTAATATTTTGTACTGAGCTTTTTGTCATGTAGTTTGCTTGTTTCCGACTTGAGATTATGTGGGGCACATTTGTTTATTTATTGTTGAGAAAGTGGTTTTTTTTTAAGATTTTAATTTTATATATATAAATATATATTTTGGTCCTATGTGCTGTCGGGTGCAGTTCATAAGTTCTGTTCTTGCACGTCCTCCATTCATTCCACTGGAGTGGAAGCATGGCTCCAGCGCGTGCTCCATGGAAGTGAATGGGGGCTGGGCGGCAGCGGGGCTTAACGTCTTGCACTCATAATCTACAGGATGGTCACCAGGGTCACTTACGAGGCACTACAAAGGAGACCTGCTTTTCCGTGCATGGCACTCACAGCAGGAAAGGTGGCAGAGAATGACATGGACTGTGTTGTGTTCTTCATTTCTTTTTCTTTTTTAAAAAGAAAAAAAAAATCAAAGGAATCAATGTGGAGGACTTGTGACCAAGAAGCCAAACTGGTTATTTCAAGTTCCTTACTGTTCTGACTTTGAAACCAAAGCTGAATTATCTATCTGCACAGGTTGCTTAACATTTAAAAAAAAAATTTAAAAACTGACAAAAACTGTACTTAAACTAGAGCAATATCTGTATGGTCAGTAAAGCTGCACTTTGTGTATTTCTTAACAGCTTCAGATCTGTCACTTTTAATTTGTACCATAAAAAATAAAGAATTGTTTGACATGAAAAATAAGCTGCCATCCTGGGCTTGTCCCAACGTCTCATGTATTATTCATCGGATCAAACTTCATGTTATTTTACATCAATTCAATACCAAAAAAAAAAGCTTAAAATTTTGTACAGAACCGAAAGCTGGTTTCCACACCCGGATTGCAGATATACAGTGTTTAAGAAAAAACATTATATAAAAGAGCCATTGTTGCTCATAATCTATGCACACACATATAGATCTATCTAGTCCCATTATTTTCTCCAGTCAAACAGATTTTGCAGGTTTTTGAAGCTCTGTAAAAACCTTCAAACCTGTTTGACCACAGACAGTGGGAGAGTTGACATCATACCCCAGGCCTTGTCCTCTCTAAAGTTACAAAAGCTGGTTCACAGCCCAGGGCCAGTTAAAAAACTCCCTGACTAAAAAAATCTCTCTGCACAGCACAAATTCCTGTCTAGAATTTACTTCACATAGATGTCTTAAAACATTTATTGACTTACTTAAACAGGAAACACAGAACAAAAGAAATTCCCAACTCAATCTTTTTTAAATGCTACATTTGTGTGATTATACAGTGCAAAATATTTTTAATGATAAACTTTACTTTAAAAAATAGAAAGAAGAATTATGTAGTTTAATACATGCTAAAAGCAAATAATAGACAAAAATAACACAGTGGATTCATGTTCAAGAAAAGAGGAAGCATTAGTAATGCAGTCAATCTGTGGTTTAATCTCAAACCTATTGCAACAAAAAAGAAATCATACATCAAAATGGTCAGAAAGAGGGTTTCTATCGCATACGAAAAGTCTCTCAGAATCGCTCACCAGGAAAATTCCCACACCCTTTTCTGGGTACAACTCAGTATATCTCACAATAACTAAGACAGAAGAATGATTCCTACACTATCTGAAAGAGCAAATTCAGCATGCGCCGTGGAAAAATTAAGTTCAATTTTTATTTTAAAAGAGGGGGGGAAACAATGTATGAGCACCGATATATTTCCATAGAATGGTTTTAGAAACGTACAGAACACGATTTAATACACATTTTGATTCACCTTTTGATGTATAAAACATAGAGGATGTTGTTTCCTCATACACGTCTTTCTGTTGGTATGATTATATGAATTCATAATCAATCACATAGATTCTGATACCTGTTTTGCTTAGCTAGATATGGACCTAATTAGAATAATCATTTTACACAATGAATACCAAATGCAAATTCGTAAACATTTTAATAACTGATATCATAAATTTGGCCGTCAGATAAGCATTAGTAAAGGTAAAGGTACCCCTGCCCGTACGGGCCAGTCTTGACAGACTCTAGGGTTCTGCGCTCATCTCACTCTATAGGCTGGGAGCCAGCGCTGTCCGGAGACACTTCCGGGTCATGTGGCCAGCGTGACAAGCTGCATCTGGCGAGCCAGAGCCGCACACGGAACGCCGTTTACCTTCCCACTAGTAAGCGGTCCCTATTTATCTACTTGCACCCGGGGGTGCTTTCGAACTGCTAGGTTGGCAGGCGCTGGGACCGAGCAACGGGAGCGCACCCCGCCGCGGGGATTCGAACCGCCAACCTTTCGATCGGCAAGCCCTAGACGCTGAGGCTTTTACCCACAGCGCCACCCGTGTCCCTCAGATAAGCATTAGTTGTTTGCTAATGCTTATCCAAAGGCCAAGTTAGGTGATATGTTCAATCTGCGCATTCATCTTGTTTTTGCTTTAACAGGCACTGCAATGGGATCAGGATTGGGACTGTGCAGTCCAGGGGGAGGGGAATTTAACTCTTTCCCCTTCACAGCAGCGCCATTGAAAATCCCCATCCTCCCTGACTGCTGAACATGCTGGCCGGAGCTGATAGGATCTGGGCATAGCTCAGATTAACCCTCTTAATCTCAGGATCCTGGCTCTGAGCCCCACATTGGGCAAAAGATTCCTGCACTGCAGGGTTGGACTAGATGATCCAACTGTATAATTCTACGATTCCAATAACATCTAGATCAGGCATAGGCAAACTCAGCCCTCCAGATGTTTTGGGACTACAACTCCCATCATCCCTAGCTAACAGGACCAGTGGTCAGGGATGATGGGAGTTGTAGTCCCAAAACATCTGGAGGGCCGACTTTGGCTATGCCCGGTCTAGAGGGCCACAGGTTATCCGTCTCTGGTCTAGAAGCTTCCTGGGCTCATGGAACGAGATTCATGGTACTTTGGAGCCTAGCCAGCTCCGAGGGGCCGGGGTCCCTTTGGCCCCCGCATAAAATATTTGAAGGGGCACCCCCCTCAAGCTGTTGGGCATTGTCATTCAAATGGTGTGTGTATGCCTCGCCTTGTGATCAATTATGTGGGGTGGAGCTTCCCTGCCTCCCCATCTTTTCTTCAAATTGCCACCCTTGCTAGATAGAGTATTCAAAAGCCACTCTAATCAAACTAAGCCACTTCCTGTAAAGTTCTGTGAATAGATATTTCACTACCTGTTTCACCGACTTCCTGTTCTCAAAATCTTTATGGCTGTAAGTAACTTGCAGTGAGAAGATTCAAGATTTCCTTATATAGTGCGCTCGGGCATGCGCGCACACACGTGCACATGAATGCCAACAGTGTACAAGAAAACACTCAGCAGAAGAAAGAGAGAAATGACCTTTTCATATCTGGTCAGTTGAGTTTAGTCTGAAATCCATTCCTGAATTGATGGCTGACCCACTTATTCATTTAAAAGAAATAGTTTCTCTATGTTATTTTGGGCTTCAGCTCCATTTGTAAAGCCCTCTACCCTTAATTTAGGACTCACTTGGCTTGAAAAATGAAGAACAACCTGCAAGTCATATGACAGAACAAGATCAGCCAGGACCCCTGTGAACAGAGTGGTATGTCTGCGTTTATGCATTTTAGGTAGAACAATAAAGCAACGAATTATTTTGCCAGAGTTTTTTCCCTTTTTTTGTTTTTTGTTGTTGTTCCATGCAAATTATGGATTTAGTTTTCTTCATTCACAGCCCACAGCAAAAAGAAAAAAGAACTCATAAAATAAACCACATAAAAACCCCAAACTCTTCAACTCACCTGCCCCCAATAGACATCAAATATGCATATGCATTTAATATAATATGTAGTTTGGCCCCAAAACAATGGCATTTCAGACCCATTTTCAAGTGAGATTCTTGAACCAGAATTCCCCAAGCTTGTTAAAATATGAAAGGCTAACTTTTTCTGAAATTCTTTCAAATCCTTTTCTTTGGCACCACATAGGAAACACAAATCTGGATCCATGTCTACTGCAGCCTCCCCCATCCCATAGGGCAATAAATACCACCTATGGTCACAGTAAATGGGTTAACTTGACTCTTCCCTGCCCCTGCCCCATTTCCCAGGGGTACAAGTCATTCATGGCTCAAGCCAAACCTCACCTCCTGGCACCAGGAACAAAAGGTTCCCATGAATGCAAAGCCAGCCAGTGCAGGTCTTCAGGGGCTGAACGTCTGACAAACTAAAACATTCATCTGCTGATTGCCTTTGTCAGCACTTAGGAGGCAATGTTTTAAACATTTACAGGTAACAGAATGCTGCCATTTCCAGTACATTTGCAGTAAAATCTACTCTCATCATTAATGTGGATGAGTTCTAGAGATGTTAAAATGTTGTTGACATTTCAGACATACCAATTCCAGTATTTCCAAGTGACATACATTTCTGGAATCTTTGAAAATAAAGTTCTGGTGTATCATGTTTTTGGCCTTCAGAGTTTTATGTGATTTCATATTTTGTTGCTTAGGAAGAAATCTGGTTTTGACAAAAATAATAATTAATTATCAGAGTTGGAAGGCAGTTGCGCAAGCCTAAGACAGAAGGAAGGTTAACTAATACTAGTCTCACCAAATCCTTGGCAACTCCACTTATTCCTTCCCTGGTACATGCTCTGGTTATCTCCCGCTTGGATTACTGCAATGCGCTCTACGTGGGGCAACCTTTGAAGGTGACCCGGAAACTACAACTAATCCAGAATGCGGCAGCTAGACTGGTGACTGGGAGCGGCCGCCGAGACCATATAACACCGGTCTTGAAAGACCTACATTGGCTCCCAGTACGTTTCCGAGCACAACTCAAAGTGTTGGTGCTGACCTTTAAAGCCCTAAACGGCCTCGGTCCAGTATATCTGAAGGAGCGTCTCCTCCCCCATCGTTCTGCCCGGACACTGAGGTCCAGTTCCGAGGGCCTTCTGGTGGTTCCCTCACTGCGAGAGGCCAAGTTACAGGGAACCAGGCAGAGGGCCTTCTCGGTAGTGGCGCCCGCCCTGTGGAACGCCCTCCCATCAGATGTCAAAGCGATAAACAACTACCTGACATTCAGAAGACATCTGAAGGCAGCCCTGTTCAGGGAAGTTTTTAATATGTGACATTTTAGTGTATCTTTCATCTTTGTTGGAAGCCGCCCAGGGAAAACCGATGGGGTAAAATAATTATTATTATTTCATTATTCATTATTATTATATTATTTGTCCATTTATTCCTACCCACCGTTTCTTGTTCTATGTACTGGTCCATAAGACAATCCATACTATTATCCTATGGTTCAGGAGCCTTTGCTGCGGTATTTTGTTTTTTGAAACTCTTGAGTATATGCCTCTACCAGAGAAATCAACCTTACCACGTTTTTCGGGTATTGTTGGCATCCACTCAAAAGACAATGGAGTGCACCTCCAGGGGCAAAGTCAAACCATTAGAGCAGTGGTTTTCAACCAATGTGCTGTGGCGTCCTGGGGTGCCTTGAATGATGGCCAGGGGTGCCGTGGGCAATCCTGGTCTCTGTCCCTCTGTCCTTCCCTCCCTCCTCTGATGTCCTCTCACATCTCTGCCTCCCGAAGGCTTCCACTGCTGTTTGTTGCAGCAGCCCTGGCGAATGGTGCCTCTGGGGCTGGCCAGGGGGTGCTGGTTGCCAGGAGCTGAGGTGGCCTTGGAGCAAGCAGGCAAGTGGGTG